GTCATTGCACTCCAGTCTGGGCGACAGAGTGAGACTCCAACTCAAAAAAAAAAAAAAGCAAAGCAGGATCTGAGCAACATAAATACCAAGAGCTCAAATGGCAAATCTAAACTTATGCAAATAACCTTTTATTTGAGCTTCTGTTTCATTGAACAAAATCCTATTATTTACTAAAAGAGAATAAATTGAGGATGCTTTTAATTTTGCAGCATCTAAATTTGGCAAAATATTAATGAGAATTATACATTTAATGAGGTTTCTTTGTTGTAGTAACATTTATTCAAAAAATACTAATATGAGAGGTAAAAATGCAGTGATGTAGTGCTAGAGAAAGTATTTGAGCTAAAATAATCACATTTTTCAATATAAAAAATGATGAGGAGTGCTTCCATTTTGCAATTTGTTCTGAATACCTGTAGAATATGTTCTAATTTAAAATATTGTTGTCTATAGTGAATAGTCAATTAAAAGTATACAGGTATGCAAGTCTGGTTCAACATTCAAAATTCAGTTAATGTAGTCCATTGCACCACAAAACTAAAGAAGAAAAATCACCTGATCATATCAATGGATGCAAAAAAAGTATTAGAGAAACCCCAACACCCATTCATAAAAAAAAAAAAAAAAGCTTTCAGTAAAATAGGAATAGAGGAGAATGTCCTCAACTTGATAAAGAATATATACAAGAAACCTACAGGTAATCATATTTAAATGATGAGAAACTAGAAGCTTTCCCATTAAGATCAAGAATAAGGCAATATCTTAACACTCCTTTCCAACATTGTACTAGAAGTCCTAGCTAATGCAATATGACAAGAAGAAAATAAAATGTATGTTCATCGGGAAGGAAGAAATAAAATTGTCTTTGTTCACAGATGACATGATTGTCTTAAGTATAAAATCCAAAACAATTGACAAAAAACTCCTGGAACTAATAAGCAATTATGGGAAGGTTGCAAGATATAAGGTTAATATACAAAAAATCAATTACTTTTCTTTATACCAGCAATGAACAAATGAAATTTGAGATAAAAACACAATAGCATGTACTTTAGAACCTCCCCAAAATGAAATACGTAGGTATAAAGCTAACAAAATAAGTACAAGAATTATATATTGACACTCTGATGAAAGAAATCAAAGAACTAAATAAATGGAGACACATCTCATGATTTTTATGACTTACTATAAAGCTGCAATGATCAAGGCAATGTCGCATTGATGACAGAACAGGAAAATATATTAATGGAATAGAATGAAGTGCCCAGAAGTAGACACACATAAATATAGTCAGTAATTTTTGACAAAGGATGAAAGGCAATACAATGGAGAAAAATCATTTTAGCAAATAATGCTGGAACAACTGAACATCTACATGGAAAAAAATCAGTCTAGATACAGACCTTACACACTTCATAAAAATTAACTAAAAAATGATCACAAACCTAAATGTAAAGCACAAAACTGTACAACTCTTAGAAGATAACATAAGAGAAAATCCACACGGCCTTGGGTGTGGTGATGACTTTTAAGTGCAACATCAAAGGAACAATTCATGAAAGAAAGAATTGATAAGCTGAATTTCATTAAGATTAGAAATTTCTGCTCTGCAAAAGCCCAGATAAGAAAGGACAAGCCACAGGCTGGGAGCAAACATTTGCAAAAGACACGTCTGCACTTGGGAGGCTGAGGTGAGAGGACTGCCTGAGGTCACAGGTTCAAGACCAACCTGGACAACATGGTGAGACCTCATCTCTATGCTAAATCAAAAAAATTATCTGGGCGTGGTAGTGTGCGCCTGTAGTTCCAGCTACTTGGAAGGCTGAGGCAGAAGGATCACCAGAGCACAGCAGGTCAATGCTGGGGTGGCCATGAGCATGCTGCTGCACTCCAGCCTGGGCGACGAAGTGAGACTCCAACTCAAAAAAAATTTAAAAAAGACACGTTTGATAAAGGACTGTTATCCAAAATATACAAAGAACTCTTAAAACTCAACAATAAGGAAATGTAATAGACAGATTTTTTTAAAAAATGGGTCAAAGATTCCTCACTGAAGAATTATATGCAGATGGCAAATAAGCATCTGAAAAGATGTTCCATATCTTTCATGTTCATGTCATCAGCGAAATAGAAACTAAAACAATGAGAGACCACTGCACACCTATTAGAATGGCCAAAACCCAGAACACAGACACCACCAAATGCTGGTGAGGGTGTGGAGCCCTGGGAACTCTAATTCATTTCTGGTGGGAATGCAAAATGGTATTGCCACTGTGGAAGATAGTTTGGCAGTTTCTTACAAAACTAAGCATCCTTCTATCATATGACCCATCTATTATTGCACTCCTTGGTATTTTCCCAAAGGAGCTGGAAACTTAGGTCCACACAAAACATGCACATACATGTTTATAGTAGCTTTATTCATAATTGGCTAAACTTGGAAGCAACCAAGATACTTTTCAGTAGGTGAATGGATTGATAAACTAATACATCCAGAAAATGGAATATCACTCATTACTAAAAAGAAATAAGCTATCAAGCCATTAAAAGACATGGAGAAAACTTAAGTGCATATTGCTGAGAGAAGCTAGCCTGAAAAGCCTATGTTGTGTGGTCCCAGCTCTATGACTTTCTGGAAGAGACAAAATAATGGAGACAGCAAAAAGACCATTGGCTGCCAGGACTTAGGTGAGAAAGAGGGATGGGTTGGTGGAGCACAGAGGATTTCTAGGGCAGTGAAAATATTCTGTATGAACCTACATTGATGAGTGCACATCATTATAATCTGTCCAAATCCAGACAGTGCAACACCAAGCATGAACCTTCGTGTCAACTGTGGACTCAAGTGACCATGGTGGGTCAGTGTGAGTCCATCAGTCCTTACAAATGCACCACTCTGGGAGGGATATTGACACAGAGGAGGCTGTGCGCATGTGGGCAGGGGGGTTGGGAAGTTTCCATAGTTTTGCTATACTTTGCTGTTAAACTAAAACTCTTCTATAAAAACAAAGTATTTTTTTTTAATGTGCAAGTCAGGGAAAAGACTTGGCTCACTCTAAGTGGCTTGGAATATCCTTGCATGTCATGCTAACTACTTTGGTGATTATTCTATGGTTACTGGTAAGCTCTTAGGATAATATTTGCATTTTAGAAAGATTAGTCTAGTAACAGAGTGGAGAGTAGATTAGAGGGACTTAGATGACAGACCAGTTTTAGGAAATACTATGGATGGAACTGTGCCCCCCC